ATGACCAGGCAACCGATCGCATGTTAGTCCCTGCATCAGCAGACGAAGACGACATGAAAATGAAAGAACCTCCTTTTACGCTGACAACCTTCTCAGCAATCAGCATTGGTTTTTGTCCATCACTGTGGGTAGTCTAAAAGGAAGCTGTGGGTTTTCGTTCTGTTCGCTTGACTTATAAATCGTACTTTTTTAATCAACGAATAATATTTTTCTCTTATAATAAATCAGTCAACATACTTTTTTAGTTATATATTATTATCACCCAAGCCGAACACCAGCATTTACCATGTCACGGCATCAGAGTTGACAGATGAGACGGAGCCCGTCGGTGTTGAGAAGTGGGCTGAATTAAAGTTGGGCCCAGCCGACGAGTTCCATCGAGACTTTCAAGGAGCTGGCTAACCCAAACTCCAGCGCCGTTGAGTGCAGCCGAGCAGGTAGTAAAATTATGGATAATGGCATTGACAAGTTGTTTATGTGGTAGAACAAGAATAAAAGTTTTAGTAAATGACATATAAAAAAATCAATGATGAAATCCCTCTCCCTCTCATCATAACGCAAATGTTATGCCATAATATTTACGTTACGTACATGGCACATTTGCACCTTTTTGTTGAGCTCGAAATCTATGTTAGGACTGGCCTAACGCTGCTGAATGTTAGCCACCCTAATATCGTCCCCCTGTAGGGCTTGGCCCAGGATGGAAAAGCAACAGAGATCCGGATGGGCCATGAGCTCTTGTGCTGCACTTGTTGGGGAGGCCCATCTGCTTGACTCCCGCGCTCTCGGCACGCAAAAGCTAACGCGCTCGGGTGGGAGCGAGCGACCCCTGCCGCACGCGGCCTGGCCCATTTCAAAGCTAGCGGCTAGCTGTTGTAAAAAAAAAAAAAACCTAGCTGCTAGCAGGTCCCTCCGTCCAGTACGGCGATGGATGCTCCGGACGATAGGAGCAGCCATACACGCGTCGTACTACGGATGTCTCGTGGTGCACAAAACGACAAGAACCACCGTTTATGTGTGATGCGTGTCCGTTTCAACGTTTTTATTTTACTGTTTTCTTTGAGTTTCTTTTATTATATATTTGTCAATTTCAGTTCTTTTCTTTTTTACATTTTTATCCTTCTTTTTTATTTTGGTTTTCATTGTTTTTCTTTAGGTTTCATTTTTCATGTGTCAGATTTCATTTTTATTTTCTCCGTAATTTCAGTTTCATTTTCTTGTTTTTCATGTGTATATTTTTTGTTTGCAATTTTAGTTTTAGTATCTTATAATTTCAGTTTCAGTATTATGTTTCAGATTATTGTTTTTACTGAGTTTTCTTTATTTTTTATTGTCTATTTATCAATTCTTCTTTTTGTTTTCCATTTTGTCTTCTTTAGTTTTCAGTTGAGTTTTGTGGTTGTTGTTTTCAATTTCATTCACATGTTTTTTTTTCATTGTGTCTACTTTAGTTTTTAGTTTCTATTTTTAATTTCAGATAATTTTTTAAAGTCATTTTCAGTTTCATTTTTCGGTAGTTATTTCAGTGGTTTAGTTTCCCTTTCAGCTACGAATGCCTACTTTAATTTTTAGTTTTATGTTTCAGTTATTTGTTTTTCATTGTGTCTACTTTAGTTTTTAGTTTTTATTTGCCAATTTCAGTTTTTTTTGTCAATTTCAGTTATAGTTTGTTATAGCAATTTCAATTTTTTGATTTCCCTTTCAGGTTTGAATGCCTTCCTAAATTTTGCATATTAATTGTTCTTCAATATATCCTGCTCTTAAATATTTCATTTTTTTGTTTCAATTTTTATTTTAGTTACAGTTTAATGAGTTATGAGTTCCCTTATTTCATTTTCCCTTTTATGAGTTCCATTATTTTAGTTACAGTTTAATGAGTTATGAGTTGTATAATAACTTTTCCCACTAAGTTGGCAGCTTATGCAACGTTTCTTCTAATAATTTGCCTCTTAGGAGTGCAACTTGTCTTTTTTTTTGCCGCTACTCTTGTCCTTTTAATAAATGTCTCTCCAATTGTCATATAATCATGTTTCCAGGCTTAGTTTTTTTTTGCCGCTACCCTATTTTTTTAATAAATGCCCCAGTTGACAGTAAGTCATGTTTCCTGGCTTTTTGTAATATGTTTTATAATAACTTGCCACCCTAATTGACAGCTTATGCAATGTTTATTTTAAATAATTTGCCCCTCTAGGTTGCAACTTGTCTTATTTTTGGTCCGCTACTCTCGTTTATTTGTTAATACCTTTATGTAAATACTATATAACAAACTTATTATATTCCTATGGTAACAATTGATGTGCATACCATGTAAAAACTTTGATATATTTTTAGAGTATCAAGTTTAGTATTACATGTAGCAACTCCTTCATAAATCTCGCAGCACACTTTTACACATAAATTGCTACTTAAATAAATTTTTTTCGAAATATAGGCAAGTAGGGTCTAATTTTGTTAGCCTCGTCACGTAGAACATTACGATGCGAACGGAATTGAAAACGGATAAATCATTCAAAAGTTATATCATTTTAAATAAAATGTTTTGATTTTTTTTTGTTTTCACCCGCTGCGTGGGAGAACGTGTTACACACAAGCAGGCTGTCCGGGCGCATGCTCTGCAGCGTGGGAGAACGTGCACAGCTAAGCAGGCTGTTTGGGGTCGCGCGCTTGCTCGATTGCGCGCCTGGTCGCGCATTAGCCCTGTCCTTCCGCTAAACATTGTGGCGACTCGAGTCGAGTTCGAATAAAAGGAAGAGGTACCCCACGGCGCAGTCTCTCATCCCAAGGCACAAACAATCAGGACTCAAAACTCTCACCTCTAGAGTCATTAATCATCAGCAGGAGTTCAGGTTCATCTGCTTTCCATAAATCAGGAATCCAACTTCAACTTCTTTTTCCAGGGATGCCTCATTGACCTCCACAACATAGGTTTGCTGCAGGTAAGCATGAAAACGGTCGAACTCGGTCGAAAAACTCCTCAACCGTTTTCTACTTTTACATTTGAAATACGAAAGTGAAAGCGAAAACGGACAAGCCGGACACGAAAACGAACACGAACTTACGGAATATCTAGAATTTCGGAAACGAACCAATTCTAGCGGAATTATGTCGAACACGGTCGGTATGCGAAAATTCAATACGAAATACCGACCCACAGTGCATAACATTAAACAAGTGCACGACCAAATACATAACAAGTTCACAACTAACAAGTGCATGATCTAGTTCAAGTGCATAGCATTAAACAAGTGCACGCACCAAATACATAATAAGAGAGATGAGGTGAGTGTCGTCTATAAAGAGAGGCGCATTTAGCCACCAAGAGAAAGAACGCGTGCGTGGTGGTGAGCACTAATTAGAAATTTGTATGACTGTGCGGTTGGCCAAATTCGTTTAAACCGATTTTTGAATTTGAATATTTCAAATTAAAAGTAGAAAAGTAGAAAACAATTGAAAAATGTGTAAACGTTTTCTACTTTTACATTTGAAATCTGAAACATCTCAAATGCGAAAGCGAAAACGGTAAAGTCGGACAAGAAAATACGGATTCGATTGGATTAAATATAGAAAATGATGCGGTTCGGTTCGGGATATTTCTGTTCCGTTTTCATCCTTAGCTGCAGGCCAATAGCATAATATTTCAGTTCAGAATATGTAAAAAGAGCTAATTGGTCTCATTAAAAAAAAGCAACATTAGGCCAATGTACTATTTTTGCAGAGAATTTGAGGTCAAAATATTCACAAAAGTAGCCTAAAAAAATCAACCCTCCCTACTAGACAACATGGACACCCACAGATTTGAGAAAATTTTGTTATGGTTGGAGAAAATTGGACGGTTGGTGAGGAACAACCGAATAACTAAAAAAGCAGAGGTACTCGGGAGGCACCAGGTGCATACTAAATTGGTGGAACTAGCACAAAATAAATTAGATTCTTATTATTTTTTATGTAATTAAAGATAAAATGGTAAATTTATATTAGAATGATAATGTTTTGAGTAGTATAGTTCTGATGGATTATCATAGTATAGTTAGATGGATATCTTTTTCTTCGACCAAACCAACCCCAGTCTTCATTCCAGCTCTAGCACTCAATGGTCACGACGACAGCTCCGCCCATACCCACCCTAGACTTTTCCCCGCTCATGCTGATAGTTCTGGCGAGCCCGCTGCTACGGCGACGTGCGAGGGCAAGGGCAGGGCGGCGGCAAGGGCACGCAAACCCCTCCTCACTAGTCATCGGCGAACTGTGGGGCTGTGTAGATCTGGCGAAGGTGGTGGAGGAGGTGATATCCGAGCTCGACCCCTCCTCACCAGCCCTCGGCTCTCCTTTTGCCCAAAGACGACGAATGTGTTGATTATAAGCCCAAGAGGCAATTCTGATCCATTAAGACGCTAATGGGCCTTTAGGGTAAAAGCCCATCAACGGAAGTCTATATATACGAAGGGGCAAGGGGCTCGGGTTGGTGGACACATCTCACAACCTAGCCGTTGCCACCTTTCTCCCTAGGGTTGCGAGTACCCAAGCCGCTGCCGCCACCCTTGCTCTCGCTGGGCGCGCGGTGCTAGCACAACAGCATCATGGCGTTTCATCCCTTCACGTGTGGATATCGTGGAGAAGAAGTTGCTGCTGTTGCTGTAGTGTTGATCAGCAACGAACGTGAGGAGCACGGGCAAACGTGTCGCTGCTGCCCGTACATGAGGACGTACGACCAGTGGCGGATCCAGAAATGGACCAAGGGGGGGGGGCTAAACAACATAGGCCAAAAAAAATTTGCTCGCTGGACACAGTACACTAATAAGCATAGAATTAGATAATTGATTCAAAGTGCTCAAAGTCAAAGATACATAGAATTATGATAATAAGCATAGAAAAGTACCAAATACAAGGAGTCTTCCATCTTCAAGAATTCACACCACTTGAACCGCCACGCTCAATGCTACATAATTTTTAAATGTCAAACACTTCTTCAATAACCAAGATAACAAATACAAAGAAAAGCTCTAAAACAATACGCACCTTGGGACCTTAGGTGGCAAGTTTATCTTACGGTTTCTTAAGCCTTGAAAGCGCTTTAAAATTTTATCATCTTCAATGGATGCAAACAAATCCCGCTCAATATAGCATATCATGCTATTATTCATCCAATCATCATTCATTTTATTCCTCCTGTCGGTCTTGATAATATTCATAGCAGAGAAGGCTCTTTCAACTGTTGCTGTTGCCACGGGCAATATCAATGCAAGCTCAATGAGGCGATACACCAAAGGAAAATATGTATGTCTATCAGTTTTAACCATCTTCTCAGCAAGGCCACCAAGATCAATACAAGAGCAAAATTCTTCATCATGTTTGACTTCATCCATGAAATTTTCAAGCTCAGTTCTTAGCTTTTCACATTCATAATCACTAAAGTCAGCATAATAAATCTTAGCAAGCTCAACTAATTTCTCTATCTTAAAGTTGGCAAACTCATTTGTCGGATCAAGACAAGCAACACATCTCAATAGTTGAGTTGATCTTTCTGGAAATCGATTGTTCAACTCACAAATTATTTGATCAAGGACAACATTGAAAATCCCATGATGAATATGATGGTAGTAGGTCACATATTTGGCTCCACGACATTTTGAACGACCTCTCATTGGTATCATATCTTCCATATTAGGAATGTCTATATTGTGTTTGGCAGCAAAGACTTTTGTCTTCTCTAAAAGATCATCCCAACCATTTTCCCTCATGGCATTTATATTTCTCATCACAGAACCAATCAATCCTATTGCATGAACAATGTTTTGATTTTTCTTTTGCAAACATTGTGATAGGTCTTGAGTTGTCCCCAATACTCTAATCATCAGATGCAATATGAACATAAATTGAAATGACTCCATTTTTTCTATCAATCCAGATGCTATAGTTTTTTCCCCATCAGTACCATCATCACTAATATTCTCTAACACCTCAAGCACAGGTTCCCACATGAGCATAAGACGTACTAATGTTTTGTGATGTGTACCCCATCGTGTATCACCAGGCCTAGCAAGACTAGTTTCTTTGTTTTTCCCTCTCCCAGGAGATATTTCACCACTATCTAATTGCTGAACAAGAGTATCATGGTGTTTTTGGAGAAGTTGATCCTTTCTCTTGCAAGAAGCACTAATAATATTGACAACTGAAGTGACATAATTGAAGAAATCATCAGTTAAAGCACAACATCTGGCTACAACAACTACCACAAGCTGCAATTGATGAGCAAAACAGTGGATGTAAAAAGCAAAAGGGTTTTCATTCAATACCAGCCTTTGTAACCCATGAAACTGCCCTCTCATGTTTGAAGCTCCATCGTATCCCTGTCCTCTAACCTTGGCTATAGATAACCCGTATCTTGCAAGCATAGAAACCAATGCTTCCTTCAGTGAAGATGATGTGGTGTCAGAAACATGTTGTAGGCCAAGGAACCTCTCAATCACACTTCCTTTATCATTGACAAACCTATAAAACAAAAGGAAACATAGTGTTAATTGGAAGCCATAAAACAAAAGAAATGAAATACACGAATAGATGATATATACCTCACAACCACGGCCATTTGTTCCTTAATTGATGCATCACGAGCCTCATCAACAAGCACCACAAACCAACGATCTCCAATTTCACTCTTAATTAATTCACTTGTCTCCTCTGCACAAGCCCTTACCAAATCTTTTTGAATTGTTGGACAATTAATTTGATTATTCCCTGGAGCATTCTCAGCTATCACAAGTGCAGCCTTAGGATCCTTCTTTCTATACCAATCAAGCATCTCCAAAAAGTTCCCTTTATTTTTAGATGTTTTAGACTCATCATGCCCACGAAATGCCAGAGCTTGCAAAAGAAGAAATCAAGCAATGCCTAACATTATAGTTAAACGAGCTTTATATGCCTCCTCTTCTACTGCAGTTGTTACTGCCCACACATGTTCTACACTTTGCCTTTAATTTGTGAAATCATTTGCTCGTTTTCTTGCTGCACTATGGTAGCCATCAATTGATTGAGCATGCTTCAGCAAAGAAGCCTTTCCCTTTTTTTTTCCATTTTTGAACCCTACTCTAATGAATGTCTCATTATCAACAAAATTGCTTGCTGGTGGTGGCTTAAAGAGGTAGCAATAAAAGCAATAGGCTGCATCCTTGACAGGACTGTACTCTAACCAATCAAATTGAGTAAACCATGATTTAACAAAACCTCTAGTTTGAGTTTTACCCGTTGTTCTTTCATACTCACAATTTGGTTGATATGGACTCATCTGTAAATATGCTCTCCTAGCATCATCCCTAATATCATGGTGGAATTCATCAATTGGCTTTCTAAGACCGGATCAAGAACTATATCATTCATATCAAGCTCAATGGGTTTTTTTGCACAACCCGACTCTCTTGAGTAGAAGTAGAAGCATCTTTCTTATCAATTTTTTTTCCATTCTACAACTACAAAGTAAAACCAATCGGATCACTGACTGAAAAAAATAAAAGAGGAATTAAAGAGGGCAGAGCCGCACAGAGGGGATCAGTTCTCACTTCTCAACCTGTCAGTTAGCCTGTCCTGGGACCCGCCACTGGGCTGGCGGGTGGGGGCTGCCGCCCTCCTCCAGAGGTCACGGCCAGGTGCCGGCCTGGCTCTTCTTGGCTCCGTCGGCCCAGGCTGCCGGCAGTTCGGCTCCGGTTGCCCTGGCGGTGCTCGGGCCCTCGCCTCATCTCGCCGGCCGATGCGCTGGAGCAGAGGGGGCGGAGGGGCGAGGCCGCGAGGGGCGAGGAGGCGCGAGCAGAGGCAAGCTGAGCCGTGAGCCCGCGAGGAGGCGGCGGGCGCGATCGTCGCGCGCTTGGTGACGCGAGGAGAAGAAGCGGTTGGCTGCGGCGCGCGCGTTTGGTCGTGACTTCGTGAGGCCGCCTGCGCTTGCGCGCCTCTGGCGGCCGTGAGTTTTGGGCTGGGCTAAAGCTCGTTAAATTTTTTTGCGCAGGCCGGGGGCAACGTCCGCCAATGCGTACGACTACTTCCACTACATCGGCGCGCTCTTCTTCTATTGCTCTATGCGTCTAATGGTAATGATCCATGATCCTCTACTCGCATGTTATCTTGGTTGAACGTGGTAAATTTACTAGTGTGTAGCGTACCCGTTTCCCTTCAGAACGGGGCAGGAAGGGCGGCCCATAGGGCAACGGTATGAAGGGGATGCCCCTCCTCTTCTCCGTCGGTATGGATGCAGATCTGCTTCCTCTTCCACCGACTATACAGGGCTTAATCTAACAAGCAAGTCGTTGCCTCCCTTCAACGCAACCAATGCAGCTCGTTGAACCTGATTACCCAAAAATCATTCCTTTTACAACCATTGTGGTCAAGAATGTTTGTCAGAAAACAACTAGACGGTCCCAGTCTCAGCTTCTATCCGAACTTTTTTTTTAGATAAATAGAACAAAGTTACAGCCTCAACCATCCTGAGATAGCACACAGCTGATCCGAACATTACATATGCTGATTAATCCCAATTACAAATGGCACATTGCATATTAACCTGCGATTTCTTTCAGTTCATACTAACAGTTGGTTTCCTTGCTTTTTTCCAACCAAAATCATAGCAGCAACACAGAGACATATGATGCCTACATCAAATGCTATGCCCAAGCAAATGGACATGCATATGCAAACTGTTATTTGTTCTCACATTCCATAGTGCAGGGCTCCTAGCAAACAAACAACAACTGAACAACACAACGGCTAATCCTGGGGACCATACCGCTGCCTTGACCAAATAGCCAAGCCATGGCGTGGCTGCTGCAATTCACCTGGGCACAGCAGGGGATGCGAATCAATCGACAAGCACTAACCGCCGGACCAGAGCCGCCATCAGGTGGAGGCCTGGAGTTGCCATCGCAGAATGTCCCCATGGGCCATGGTCCATAGACAGGTACTTCATAATTGGCCTTTGGGCCTTGATGCCTTGCCTTGTGGGCTTGTCACTTGTGGATTGTGGGCTGCGCGCAGAACAACACATATGGTCCATCGTCGATGGACTGGACAGTCTGGACTGCAAATTGCAAAGCCTGTGCACAGTGCCCGTTCGTTTTCCAGTCATGCAATGACGCCGACGCTTCGCGTTTCGCCGTTTCAAATTCGAGTTTGCGACAAACGACCAAGCTGCTCGGCCGATGATTTGTTTGCGGCTGATAAATCGGCTGATGTTGTTTTGTTGTGAGAAAAAAATACGTACCATGTAAACTAGGGTCGACAAGTTCAAACCAATATAGGCATTTGTCACTCCGTGGCTCTGCTCAATTCCACACAAGATGCCACGTATGCAACCGACTTTTAATGTGTTGCATTTAGAAAGAATTAAAAAAAAATTATAGTGCATAGGGGAGGCAAGAAATGGAATTAGTGTGGAAACCACCAAAAACTGTACCTGTTTCACATGCGTAGGCAAACAAAACACCGAGAATCGTTTCATCTGCTTCTGGCTTCTGATCTGCGAAACGGGGGCTAAGTTGTTGTTGAACTGAGTAGTTCGAGTCCTTGCGCTAGCTGGTTGGAAGAGACGGGTTAGTGGAAAAGAAAACTACTGTGATCTATATCTTTTATATCTAATAATGAAGAGGCAAAATTTTTGCTTATTTTTTTTGTCCGTCCATTTTTTTTTATCCGTCTCCCTCTAACTACCGGACAATAAAGAGCTTCTTCCGTCCGGACTTATATATATAACCCGTTCTCATACGAGTTAGAATAGCTCTTGTCTCAAGCGTGATACTGCAGTCCGATTCCAAAATATATGGGGTCTATATGATCCGGACTCTTAAGATAACTTGGATAGCTATAATTCTAATCCTAAACTGAATAGGAATAAAATCCTGATCAAATAGAAAAGGACAAACAAAATACAAATTACATAAATCTTATCTGAATATTAAACCACGACTCCTCACTTTGGTTTCGTGGACGGTTGGAGTACGTCAGCTTTTGTCGTGGCTGATTTTGCAGACGTATAGGAAAAGACATCACCTGCTTGCAACAATTATCTCATGCTCTCTCTCTTGGATTGTACAATTTCTTTCCTATTTCAATACACAATTACCTCGTGCTATCTCTTGGATTGTACAATTCCTTTCCTATTCCAATAAGCCGTCTTAGAATACTTACATATATATACTTCAACTATTGAATCGACAAAATTATCGTGTCATATCTTTATCGTTATATATAGGATGTTCTAAATTTGCTTTTCCATTATTTTTTTTTCCACGCCACTTTTTTTTTTGATGGATTTGTTTTCCTCACGTGATGTTTCTCTGCTTTCCTTACATAATATTTCCCCTTTTAATTTTCCATGTACTTTTTATATGATTTTTTGTTCCTCTTTTTTTGAGAATTACATGATGGTTTCCGATTCTGTATGGGACATGATTTTTTTATTTTTTTCAAGGTGGAGATAAATCTCATACGTACTTATGTACGTGTACATGATAATTTCTGATTTATTTGGCTTTTTCCAACGTATTTAAGTACATGATGGTTTCATATTTGTTTCGTGTATGAAGGATCAACATTTTTGGTTACCTTTTTCCATGTGAAATAGGTAAACCGGGGTAATGAGAAAATTTTGGTTATAATTGTTTTTAAAATAGTAAACTGGAAGTAATGATCTTTTTAGTTGTAACTTTTCTCATCTTGAGATTAGAACTGTAAAACATCCCTTAACACTACACATGCTCTAGCTCTTCGAACCTATTCATGATGCTTGTGTAGGCGTGTGGCTCAACTTAAACCGTTTCAAACTCATAATAAATGCACATAATAATCACCAATTTTTTGAGTTAATCTCTTATCAATTTTTCATACGGAATTATATTTATTTGATTCATGGTTGGACCAAACTCATTTAAATTTACAAAAATTGTACAATCACCGAGTAATAAATTGTACGTCCTGTTACAACCGTACGTGCATGTTTTGCTAGTTAATATATATAGCCAAATTTCAAGCAACCAGTGTGCATTAAATCTGTGGATCGATCGACTCCAATCCAAGTCTAAAAAAGAGCTCAACATATGCCTGGCCCTGCACGCAAATGATCAGCTCGATCGCAGTCGGTAGTTGGACCGATCGGTAGTCGGAGTCAACCCTAATCTCGGTCCATCACCGACCACGGTGACCGCCACGCGATTCGAATCCATCGACCACCTCCATCAGCTCACCCCACGACCGAGAGCGGGCGCGATCGACGCGCTGCGCACTGCTCGTCAACACATGCATGCAGCCGATCGACTTGCATTGCATGTGATATTATTCAAATTCAAATCGCCGGCAGCGTATATGAAGTTTTATAAACTTATAAACTATTCTTCAGTGTATACAATTTCTTGTTTTCTGCTTCCTGAGGTTGCTGCCGGAGCGATGCATCCGAAGACCGAGAGATATTCCGGTGATCGTCGTCAGATGCCGCTTCAAACTTGCTTGACATGCATGGAAGATGGGACGGACGCCGCTGTTGCTGACTCTCGACGGCGTATCATCATACCGTATGACTTGGATGTCACAAGGAATACTAAATGCAATTGATTGAACCTATTCAAACAAAGTGTTAATTATTTGGTTATATATATGCTGATAACTTGTTCTAGAGTTTAGTTTAATGGAGTGTTATTTGTGGGTTTTGAACTGCAGGATCTGGCAACAATCTGCACCAGTGTTGTCTGCCTCTATCATTAACAGAGGCGACAGTATTGTCTGTCTCTACCGTTTCGCCGGTGTTAATCACAAAATACAGTTAATTAG